AAATGTTTCCTATACTAAGTGTGGAAAGAAGAGGAACATTAGCAATAGAAGGCTCATGAATGCTGACTTGAAGGAAAAGAAATTCCTGTTTTTAAAGATGCTTCTGTGCACTTCAGGCTCCATACAGTTCTTGGAGTATGGAGCATTGCTGACCAACAGTAAAGCCTGGCAATAACCTACATTCCAGTCCCAGACTGAACTCTGCTGCTTGAAAGCAGCACTGCTGTCCAAATGCATCAACAGCTTTTTATTCTCCAGAGATGATACCAGCTCTCTAACAGGCCACCACAGCTTTTAGAAGGTGGAGATAGCTCACCATCCTTTTGACAGCAGAAATGTGGGCGAGTTTGGTTACCCAAGACAGATTCCACCCAAGCACAAATCCATGCTCACAGCATCGAGGCAAAAGAAAGCAGCACCAAGTCCTTCACTGACACCTTGTGTCAGAAGCAGGAACTGGCTGTCACAGAGAGGGCCAGGCAGATTCTAACACCCAGCACAGGTGTGTGGCACACAAGGATCTCTGGCAAAGAAACAATCACAAAATTTGGAGCTAAAAGAAGGGATTATTGGCGAGGGTTTCAAGAGAGAACTTAAGCCACAACAGCTCTTACTCCCTCCCCTCAATCCTGCTTCTGTTTTCCTGTCCCTTTTTACAGCCAGCTCAGGAGCCGCCTGACCACCTGTTTGGCTCTATTTCCAACTCATTAAGAAGCCAGAGCTTGAACTGGGTTTCTTTGTGATCAGATAAGCAGAGGATCACACAGAAAAGCATGATCTCCTCCTTCCAGCAGCACTAAGCTGTCAGCCCAACTCCTGAAGCAGAGAAGTTAATTCCTTTTTGCTTCCAGAACGATACAAGCACACAAGAGGAAGCAGCATTTCAGACCTGGAAGCAATATCTCCTAGCAGCAGCAACCAGACGGATACCAGATTCCCAGGGCCAGCCCCAAGATAGCCCTGGTTCTTCAAAACCAAGGTGATAATTTGCTCCAGGACTGAACTAACTGCAGAGCCAGACTCAGGCAAGAGGAGCAGTGAAGACAAAAAAGAATAGCAGAAAATTTATTTTATGCCAGAGTAATTATTTTGGCATAATAAGCTAGCTACTGCCTGGATTTAGTGCAGACAAGCATCTGGGAGAGAAAATGTTAGAAGTCTGCAAAGCACAGAAAACAGATACTGAAATAGGAAAATGGGAACTAAAGGGACAGAGGAAAGAAACGGTCTGACCACAGACATAGTACGTGATCAACAGCAATGTTGCTTTGAAGGAAAATCCTTCTACAAGGGCAACAATGTAGAGTGTCTTGTAGAGGGACTTTGTCACTTCTGGTATCTCCAGGGGCACAGAAAGCCAAGTGGAGGCGGAATGAGACTGGCAGTGAACTTAGAACAGCATTCAGGCTCTGAATGAAGGGTGACAAGGAGCATAGCAGCAGCCACCATCAGGGAGCTGTCAGGACAGGGTAGTAACAATATCAAGACAAATACACGAGTGGGGATGGCACAAGTTACTCCTGGTGAGATTCTGACTGGACACAAGAAGAAAATTTTTCGCAATGAGAACAACCAGCCATTGGAATAACCTCTGCAGGGAATTTTGGACTCCCCAACACTAAACACTTCAGATTGGCCTGAACAGGATGCTTAAACATGCAGTCCAGCTCATGCTTTGCCTAGAAAGGTTGGACCAGATGATCTTTGAGGTCCCTTTCAACCTGGGATTCCATGATTGATATGGGAACTCCAAAACGATCACTCCAAATGGAGAAAACAGCACTCCAAGTGAAAGCAAAGTTTACACAACCTCATTCAGAAGGCAAGGAAAGGGGGGGGCCCCCCCCCAAATTACACGCTTAAGGAGAAGCTGTAAGGTACAGAAAGACTCCAAAGAAGAAGTTACCTGCAGGGAAGCTGATAAAGTGATAGTTTAGGGCATGCTGAGACTTACGACTAGCAGGAGAGCAGAAATGCCTCCCACCACTCTCTTCCAGGCCCTGAGCTCCATAGCAAGAATCATAGAGACTGCTGCAAGCGAAGAGCTGCAAAAAAGTCTACCTGAAAAGGGGCTTCTGTCCTAAGTAAAAACACCCTGGGTATGTTTTACAGTAGAGACTGAGGCACACCACAGCATTCTGTTCCGATTCTGTTATTTAACAGTTGAGCAATTAGCTCCAGGTAACTTGCATCCAGGGTTCTGCTGGTCAAGGATCCCTCTAGATAGTTAATACAAATTTGAATCACTCAGCAATGGTTAAGATCAGGCTGATCTTAACCACTATTTTCAGAAGAAAGAATAATCCAATAATTATAGCCCCATTGACCAAAACAACCAACATCTCTGGATACACGTTTCTCTCTGTTTCAAGAAAGACCTGGCTTTGATCTTCATGATTTGTGACCCAGGTTTTGGACACCCATGAGGGAAAACTGTTAAGCAGGTCACTGATACAGAGGACTAGATCAGCACTGGCTAATTAAGATAAACTGAACAGAGATGAAAAGCATCACTAAGCAAAACCTTTGCAGCTCTCTAGGTTTATACACACCAATCTAGAATAAAAAACGATGGCTGGAAGTCAGGTTTAGCCTTGAAAGAGAACTCAAAATTACAGGTAAAGGGTAATTAACCGGTGAATTTACTAAGGTCTGCACTAGAGTTTTTTCCACTAGCAACCCTTCAGTAACAGCATGTACTTTCGACCCAATCTCCTCAAACTGATTACGGGTATCAGGGATTAAGTTATATTACCCCATTAATCTTGTTTCTGGCCTTAAAGAGCCTTCCTGCTCTGCCTGCCATTTAGGAAGTGAAAGCCCAAAACAAGACTCCTCAGCAAAGCCTGACAAACTAACCAGGTTCCCAACAACCGCAAGAAAGACACCACAGATAGACAGCCTCCTCAAGAAAGCACTGCGATCTTGAGCTTCCTTAAACTGCCAGCTTTAATCAGCTGCTAACAATCACAAGGCCACAAAATTGAGTCAGCTGAGGTCGGAAGAAGCAGCCGCGGTGCGGAAACACCTCTAGCGTGAGGTATCCTGCCCATGGAAGGGTGGGTTGGAACTAGATGATCAAACCCAAACCATTCTATAATTCTGTAGCGCCAAATGCCTGCTCAGCCAAGGAGTGAAGAAGGAAAAAAGCCCCAAAACCGCTTATATGGACTCTTTTCCCCGCTGCTACACAACACCCCGCCACCACACAGTCCCACCACCCCTCCATTCCAGCTTTCCCCTCAGCTCGACAGCCATTCCCCTCAGTATGAAGGCGGAGGGTGTCCCCCCACCCACCTCAGACACCCAACTCACCCTCCAGGCTCTCACACTGCACCAAGTTCACGTAGTCACCCTGCCGGAGCACCCCCGCCTTAAAACCGCGCACCAAGCCTTCCAGGTAGCCGTTATCGACGTTAAAATACAGCTCCGGGAAAGACGACATGGCGACGGGCGAAGAAGCGGGAGGACTATGGCGGCGGCTTACATGACGTACTGACGTACGTACGTACGTGCGTGCGTACGTGCGTGCGTGCGTGCGTGCGTGCGTGCTCCTGCGTCCTTCCCTTGAGGCAGTGCAGGGCGGGAAGCGGCGGTGGCGGTTGGGGGATCAATGGCGGGGGGCGGGAGCTGTGGTGTTGTTACTCCTGACTGCCCCAGCACAGCCTTGCTTTTCAAGCCCTGTTTCTGGAGGTTAAAAGCCACCACTGAGACCGAATTAAACAAGTATTTCACTGTATATAGACATAGTCATGGGCAAAACTTCCAAAACTCTCCAGATAGAGCAGGCATGAAACAGGAGGACCAGCTGTTTTATTTTAAATCGGTGTGGGTCTTCCTTCCGTTGATAGGTTAATGGTTCCAAGAAAACCCAGCTATAAGGAGCCTCTGGGGGTTGTAAATTAACCCAAATGAGACTACGTAGTTAATTGGCAAGGCTAAACAAGCATTTCAGTGTCCCTAAGTATGGGGTTTACATAAAAGGGTAAAATGAGTGGGGGTATTTCCCCAAATGACCCCAGAGACACCTGGGGGAGATGCAGTACGATACACAGTGAGTAATGAGAGTTGTGGGCACTCTGTTCTGGTGGGACCCCACTTGGAGCACTGTGTGCACTTCTGGTGTCCTCAACACAAGAGGGGCCTGGAGCTGCTGGAACAAACCCAGAGGAGTCCACGGAGATGCTGTGAGGGCTAAAGCATCTCTGCTTGGAGCCAGGCTGAGAGAGCTGGGCTGGTTCAGCCTGGGGAAGAGAAGGCTCCTGAAGGGGAGACCTTAGAGCAGGTCCAGTGCCTAAAGGGGCTGCAGGAAACCTGGAGAGGGGCTTGGGACCAGGGTCTGTAGGGACAGGACAAGGGGGAATGGCTTGAACCTGCCTGAGGGGAGACTGAGCTGAGCTCTTAGGCAGAAGCTCTTCCCTGTGAGGGTGCTGAGGCGCTGGCACAGGGTGCCCAGAGAAGCTGTGGCTGCCCCATCCCTGGCAGTGTTCAAGGCCAGGCTGGACACAGGGGCTTGGAGCAACCTGGTCTAGTGGAAGGTGTCCCTGTCTGTGGCAGTGGGTTGGAAGTGGATGAGCTTTAAGGTCCCTTTGAACGCAAATTACATGATTCTGTGCATATAATAATGATATATAAGCTGTAAACTGTCTCTTCTCAGTGTGCATGATAGGCAGAACAATCCTCTATGCACCTGGTACCGTAATCCTGTTGGCTTTCTAAGCTGTCATTCTGGTTACAAAGATTATTTCCTGGATTTTGGTGGCACCACAAGCAATACTCACACAGCAAGAACACAAGTGAAGCTCCCAGTGGAGCTGGAATGTCCCTTCCTGGGGCACCCCTCCTGAAAGACTAGGAAGAGCCCTGCAGGGGCTCTGGAAGGAAAGTCAGTCTCATTTTTCTTGACATGGAGGTGCTTAACATTGGCTGTGTGGACATGATGCCCACCTGGGCAGAGGTACCTTCACCTCCTGCTCCCCCTCTTCCCTGGAACACCCAAGCAGACACATTGAACCAATCCCACTCAGCAATAGCTTTTGCTAACAGCTGGTTTATTAGACCTGCAGAGCAGGACATGCCACACACGGGCAAGGGACAGGCAGCCCCGCAGCACAAGCACTAGTTCTTGCCGCAGGGGAAGCTGGTGCTGATTTTCCTGCAGTAGCAGAAGGCATTGAAGAAGCGGCAGTAGCAGGTGGCACAGGGGTCGCAGCAGGGGACCTGGTGGCCCAGGCACGACTCCAGGAGGCGGACACAGCGGCGGGGGGAGCGCTCCTCACGGCCGGCAGCTTCTACTTCTGTGGAGGATGCCTGCTGGAGGCAGGAGGAAAAGAGCTGGTGTTAGAGCACTGCATGGGAGACAGACAAGAGTGGCTGCTGAAACCTGCCGCTGCCAACAGCCCAGTTCTGTCAAGCTCAGTTCTGGACTGGGTCTGTTGGGAATCACCGCTGAGCCCCGGGGGCTCTCATGCCTCATCCATCATGTCTCAAGGCCTTTATGCACACATTTAACTTGAAGTGCAGCCTCAACTTTAATGAAGGTGGCACCAAGCAGAAGCACCAGGGTCTGAGCCAGGCACTGCCTGGTTTGCTCCTGCTCTGCAGAATGTGCACATGAGGTTAATCAAACAGATTGCAGGGGCACAGGTTTGGACCACCCTCCTTTCTGTGCCAGAACCCCTTGCAGCTCTGGGCAGCCCTAACAGGCAATATGTCTGGATATGCCCTTCCCAGGCAACAGCACGCTGGCCCCAGGGGCACTGAGAAGGCTGTCCTGCTTCTTGGGGTGTCTGTAAGAAAGCTCAGGGAGCATTACCTGCGGTTCTAGGATGCTGTCTCTGTGCATGAGGTTACCATTGGCTTCTTGGACATCCAGGGTCATCTGCTCAAGCCCCAGTCTGGGGAGAGCTCCTGCAACATACAAAGGCTCAACAGCAAGGGGGTGGAGGCTATATAACTGCTGACACCAGTCAGTGACAGAAAAAGCTATGCTGCTTTATGGGGCTCCCCTGCAGCACCTGGCCATGGATGGCAGGTCCCCACTTCAGTTTCGGTGCCCCAGCCATGCCAGCAAGCAGATTGTGGAGTGGGGGGGAACTGGGAGAGTGGGGCGCCACAGGACTCACCCGCCGGTTCTGCAGACACCTCCTTGACTCTCCGCAGCAGGCTGGAGGATCGGGCTCTGTCTGTGCCCTCCAGCCCTCCGCTCGCCTTCTCTGGCAGCCCACAGCCCATGTCGGCACCGAGGACAGCCCCCTGCAGCAGCCCGCAGCACAGCAGCAGCACGTTCAGCATGGTCCTGGGGGACAGCCTGCACACAGATGGGTCCTGGCCAGAGTCAGCCCACCTGCAGGCAGCCCGGCCTGGCCCCCACTGCCGCCCTTCTACCATCACACCCCAAGTAAGCCCTGCCAACACCCACCACACCACTTGCTCTTGTGGACTGGAGGGCCTTTCCTGAGCCACCACATACTGGTGGGATTGGTGAGGCACTGGCACAGGGTGCCTACTGAAGCTGTGGCTGCCCCATCCCTGGCAGTGCTCAAGGCCAGGTTGGACACAGGGGCTTGGAGCAACCTGCTCTAGTGGAAGGGGTCCCTGCCTGTGGAAGGGCATTGGAACTGGGTGAGCGTTAAGGTCCCTTCCAACCCAAACCCTATGATTCCACAGTTCCTTTACAGCAGCGCAGGGTCTCCCTGGCCCAGAATGTTGAGCAGCCTTCATCATCCTCCAGCAGCCACAAGCCTTTGCAGTCCTGTGCTTTCACTGCCCACGTATATGGGATGTGGCCAAAACATTCGGCACATCTCCTGTCCGGTGCTTGCACTCACAGAGCGTGGAAATGACACTCATTCGAGCATTAGGATACAAACCTCTCTCTGCCTGGGACATGGACACCATCTCCAGATGTCCCCACCCCAGGGTTTGCTTCCTCTTCCCTGCCCATAGGCCTGGATGGGGACTCCCATGGAACCCTGCACCTCCTGTTTCGGCAGCACTGGGGCTCCAGCCTTGGCTCCAGCAGCCCAGAGCTGCACCAGCCACTCCTCACCTCCCTATCCCCACAAAACCACCCAGCCCTTTGCCAGCAGAGACCCACAGTTGTGGGTGTTGCATCCCACCTGCCCCCAGCCCCATCCCAGCCCCTTCCCATGGGAAGCACTGACCTCTCCAAGCAGAGAGGGGCTTGCTGCTCGCTGCTTCTCCAAGCTTGCTGGGAGCGCTGCTGCCGCTCTCTGCCTCGATGTCATCCTCCCCATATGCTTACTGGAGTTTATATCAGCTTCTTAATTAATTAAGTGCTGCAGCCACATGACTCTGGTAACCATCAGGTAGGTGGGCTTCTCTGAAACCCGGCTTTGTATGGACACCGTGGCAGCCATGGGGTGAGGGGGGGGAGAGGGGAGGGAGAGAGGACTCTGTCCCTGCACCCCGCATGGCTGCAGGGAGGAACAGATTCCCATTGCCTCCGGCATCTCAGGTTTATGGGAGTGATCCCCACCTTTCTTCCAACCAAATTCCCTTTCCAGCCATGCCAGCACTGCGGTTGGAGCCTCAGGACATCTGGTTCCTGGTTACACACTCTACATGCTCCTCCATTCTGGTTTTCAAAGGGAATGGTTCCCACAGCTGCTGACAGGCACATGCCGTGGTCCATGGCCTCCGTAAGCCTTCCAGCTCCTGACCAGTGCAAATTCCTCAAGCTCCCACCCGTGCTAACTGCATCTCTCATGCAGGTGTTCTTTGAAGAAGCTGCAGCTCCCCACAGCCCGGCTCTCTCAGAGGATCCCCCCTAGGCATCCTGAGCTTGACTTCACAGGAAGAAGGGAAGGAACCAGCCACTCACTTCTCCCCAGCCCTAACGCTGTCTTTTACAGCCACCGTATGTGGCCCCTTGAGCTTTCCAGTGCAGAGGCCTTCAAGGGACACTCCAAACCCCAAAGGGAGCTGCAGCCTCAGTCATAGAACAGGCACTGGTGGAGGTGGCATCTCTGCAGCCTCTCACTGGCCAGGGCTGTTGGGGGACATGCATCCCAGTGCACCTCGTATCTGTTCTCCCTTTTTCAACTGGAGGCTTCAGACCTGTGTTGGCTCACATACAGCAGGCAACGGTGCAGAAGGATACAGACCTGCAGCACGGGTGCAGCACCCAGCACCCACAGGCCCTTCGCTAGTGTAGGGCAACCAGGAGTGAGGGTGGTAAGTGCCTGCACAGTCTCCTGCACTAACAGCAGCAGCTCTGAGAGCAGTCTACTGATACCCCAGTGCCAGAAGCCAGGAAGGAATCACTTTTCCCTTTGAACCCCAGATGCAGAGGACCCTGCAGGGTCATGGCAGGGATAAGACATGAGAGGGGTTCAGAGGGCTGTGACAAGGGAGGCTGATGGCCCAGGCTCTGCTCCCAGACCCTGCATGATCAAGGACATCCCAGCACATCTCCAGTGGACCATGACCCCCTGCTCCTGGCTGCACCCTGCATGCTTTGGATGAAGGATCTTGGCTTAGAGGCAGGTTTGGCAGCTCCCCCTCTCCCCAATCCCATTCCTAAAGCCCCGATGGGTGTTGGGCACCTCATCCACCCCTATTCCTATGCTGGGAGCTGCTGGCAGCTTGTTCCCCGCCCTCAGCTCCTCCATCCCTAGCCCTGGGTGTTCGGTTCTGGTCTGAGCTGCGCCCGGCTCATTAAGGCCTGTTTGCATCCTGCGGGATCGCAGGCAGGAGCGGGCCTTCTGGGAAGGCATTAACCATAGCGGGGGCGGCCGCGCTGAGAGCGGCTTAATCTGCAGGAGCAACATCTGCTTTGTGAGCATCCCCGCGGCCATTAACGAGATAAATGAGGCGGATGGGCCGGTTCCAAGAAAACAGGGCTCACGTCTGCGAGGGTGGGAGGGGGCGATGCTGGAGAGCGGTGAAATGGCAGCAGTGCCCATGGGCAGGCAGGAGAGCGGCAGGGAGGGAGCTCACGCACAGCAGGACCCTGGGGACACAGCCCCAGCGGGGGCTCTGCCGCTCTTCCTGGAAGCGGCCGGGTGCCTCGTTTAGCTCGTTACCAGCCCTCGTTAACGCGAATGCCAGCCCCTAACGGGCACTGAGCGGCCGGGCTCAGGTACCGGTACCCCCACCCCCGCCCCCGCCAGGAGCAGCGCTGCCCGCTCCCTCCGGGGAGGTGCGATGAGCATCACCCCGGCCTCAGCCCCAGCCCCAGCCCCGGCGCATGGAGCCCTTTAAGGCGCGATCCCGGAGCCGCCCTGACGTCAGCGGGCGGCGCGCCCGGGCAGCCGCAGCCCCGGTAGCTTCGGTGGCCCCAGCTCCGCAGCCCCGGTGAGCGCGGGGGAACCGGCACTGTGGGACACGGGGGGGGGGGGCATGGGGTGGGTGCTGGGGTGCCCGGGGCCAGGGAGTGGTGAGGGCTTGAGGTGGGGCAGCGGGGTACAGAGGGTGCTGGGGAAGGGGAATGAGGGTATTGGGGTGCCCAGAGCGCTAAGATCATGGGGACCTGGAAGTCGGTTATGCCCAAGGTGATGGGGGGTGGATCGGGAGCAGGGTATTGGGGTGCCCAAAGTGCTGGTGACTTGGAGGTGGGCAGTTGGGGTGCCCAGGGTTCTGGGGATGTGGAGGTGGGGATACCCAAATGCCTTGTGGTGCTGGGGAAGAGAGGTGGGGGTATGGAGGTGTCCAGGGTGCTGCGAACCTGAGCATGGGGTTTTGGGGTACCCAGGGTGCTGAGGAGTATAGGTGGGAGTAATGGGATGCCCAGGGTGCTGGAGGTGGGGGTGCAGACGGGTGGCCAGGTCCCGGGATGCTGGGTGTTCTGGATGCCCATGGTTCTGGGGCTCTGATGTCCGGGGGATCCCAACCTGGTGCTGGGGGTGTTCAGGGGTGCCCCATCCCTCATCCCCCGTGGCTCAGCAACTCCCCCATGGCACAGTGCCTGCTGCCGTCCCTGTGTGCTGCCATGGCCGGGGCGCAGGGCTGCAGCGAGGGGCAGATCGCGGGGCTGTACGACCTGGGGCGCACGCTGGGCACGGGCCATTTCGCGGTGGTGAAGGCGGCGCGGCACGTCTTCACCGGGCAGCGTGTGGCCGTCAAGGTGATCGACAAGAGCAAGCTGGCGGGGGGCGCAGCGGGGCAGCTCCTGCAGGAGGTGCGCTGCATGAAGCTGGTGCAGCACCCCAACGTGGTGCGCCTCTACGAGGTCATTGACACGCACGCCAAGCTGTACCTCATCCTGGAGCTGGGCGACGGTGGGGACATGTTCGACCACATCATGCGGCACGAGGGCGGGCTGCCCGAGGCGCGGGCCAAGCACTACTTCGCCCAGATTGTCCACGCCATCTCCTACTGCCACAAGCTCCACGTGGTGCACCGCGACCTCAAGCCCGAGAACGTGGTCTTCTTCCAGGAGCAAGGTGTGGTGAAGCTCACTGACTTCGGCTTCAGCAACCGCTTCCAGCCCGGCAAGATGCTCACCACCAGCTGCGGCTCACTGGCGTACTCGGCGCCCGAGATCCTGCTCGGGGATGAGTACGATGCCCCGGCTGTCGGTAAGGGTGGTGGGGCTCAGAACCGTGGCTGGTGCTCACCATAGGGACCTGCTTCCCGCATGTCCCTTGCCAGGAGTGTGGTCCTGCTGGTGAGCTACCACCTCAGTTTTGGTTCCCTGTGCTGGTAGCACCTCTGCCCTGGCGCGCTGTCCTTGCAGGGAGCAAGCCTGCCTGTCCCTTGGGTGCTCTGCTCTTCCTATATCTGCACCCACCAAGACCCCATAGAGCCGTGCATCATGCCAGGGCGGGGATGAAGCCGGAGCAGGCCGGTGTGGGCTGTGGTTTGAGGGGGTGATGCCGGAAGGAAACCGGCTCAGGATGCTGCTCTTGGAGCTCCTCCACCCAGAAGGTTTCCTTTGCTCCATTCCCACCCTGAAAATCACTTCCTTCCCATGGCTCCCAGTGCTCTTCCGCCCTGGCTAGGGTGCAGAAGGGTTCGGGAGACCATCCCCTTCCCAAGTGGAGGGCACCAAGGGTATTTGCTGGGGCAGAGAGGGGATGTGAGAGGGAAGTGGGACCCCAGGCAGCTCTGCTGGAGTCTGGGGCAGGAGGATTTAGCAAAACAAAACATGAGCCCTTAAGGGAAAAAGCCCAGCGTTGGCTCGGGGAAGGGCAGCTCCTGAGCTGAGGACAGGGAGAGCATGTGGAGACAGTAGGAAAGGCAGCTGGTGGGATATGAAGGGTGAAAACTGTCACAGATGAGAACATTTCAAATGCAGGCACTTGACTGAAGAAGCTGAAGGTATTAATGGAGAGCCCCGGGGCGTGCTCAGCATGCCAAAAATGCACCTTGGCAGCCAGTTTGTGCAGTGCTCAGGAGCTGGTGAAGATCCTGCCTCAGTCCCTGTGCCCATGATCCCCCTTGGCCTGGTTCCATCACAGCTGTGGGCAGCTGGAGAGCCTGGATCCTCAGTGCGGTGTCCCCTCTGGCACGACTGCGGTGGGGTCTGTTTGGGAACCAGGAAGATGAGTAATATCATGAAATCAGCAGTCCCAGACACAGCTACAGGCTGGGCAGAGAAGAGATTCAGAGCAGCCCAAGGAGAAGGACTTGGGGGTGCTGGTCGATGAGAAAATGAACATGAGCCGGCTTCAGTGTGCGCTTGCAGCCCAGAAAGCAACCGTATCCTGGGCTGCATCAAAAGGAGCGTGACCAGCAGGTCGAAGGAGGTGATCCTGCCCCTCTGCTCTCGTGAGACCTCACCTGGAGTATTGTGTGCAGTTCTGGTGTCCTCAACATAAAAAGGACAGGGAACTGTTGGAACAAGTCCAGAGGAGGCCACGAGGATGATCAGGGGACTGGAGCACCTCCTGTATGAAGACAGGCTGAGAAAGTTGGGGCTGTTCAGCCTGGAGAAGAGAAGGCTGCGTGGAGACCTCATAGCAGCCTTCCAGTATCTGAAGGGGGCCTATAGGGATGCTGGGGATGGACTCTTCATTAGGGACTGTAGTGAGGACAAGGGGCAATGGGTTAAAACTGAAACAGGGGAAGTTTAGATTGGGTACAAGAAGAAGTTCTTTACTGTTAGGGTGGTGAGGCACTGGAATGGGTTGCCCAGGGAGGTTGTGAATGCTCCATCCCTGGCAGTGTTCAAGGCCAGGCTGGACGAGGCCTTGGGTGAGATGGTTTAGAGTGAGGTGTCCCTGCCCATGGCAGGGGGCTTGGAACTTGGTGATCTTAAGGTCCTTTCCAACCCTAACTGTTCTATGATTCTCTGAAATGGAGCTGTGGGTGGGTTACTGGGTGGGAGAGAGCTCAGGGTTGTCACCACCTGAAAAAGGGGAGAAGGCCTCAACTGCTTGAGACCTCAACTGTTTGGATGTGGGCATAGGGAATGTCCTTCCCTGCTCCAGTGGGGCGGCAGTCGCCCATATGTGGGGCAGGACGTGGAAGCCATTGCACCCAAGGAGCATCCCAGTGGGCACTGGCTCAGCACTGGGGGCTGGTGGGTAGTGCCTGGGGTTGGGGCTCTCTGCTGGGCCACGGTGGGTGCAGTCTGAACCGCTGCTGTTTCTTGCAGACATCTGGAGCCTGGGGGTCATCCTCTACATGCTGGTCTGCGGCCACCCCCCCTTCCAGGAGGCCAACGACAGCGAGACCCTCACCATGATCATGGACTGCCGATACACTGTCCCTGCGCACGTCTCGGCTCAGTGTGCTGAGTGAGCACCACCCGGGGCCCCCCAACCCTGACCCACTGCCCCGAGCAGCTGGGGTGGGAGAAGGGCGATGGAGCTGATGAGATCAGGGTTCATGTCACCCCTCTCCCCCTCCAGCCTCATCTCCAGGATGCTACAGCGGGACCCCAAGTGCCGAGCGTCGCTGGAGCAGATCGAGGGCCACCCGTGGCTGCAGGGGGTGGACCCGTCCCCTGCCAGCCGCTGCCTGCTGCCCCTCACCTCGCACAAGCGCGTGTCACAGGAGGAGCACGAAATCATCCTCCGGGCCATGATGTGTGGGAACATCGCGGACAGGGACACCATCCAGGAGTGCGTGGCGGGATGGGCGCTGTGACAGGAGCCCTTGGGAAGGGCTCTGGGGTCCTTCCGAGCGCTGACACAGGTCCCTTGGTCCCATGCAGGGCGCTGGAAGCCAACCGGTACAACCACATCACGGCCACCTATTTCCTGCTAGCGGAGAGGATGCTGCGGGAGAAGCAGGAGAAGCAGAGTCGCAGTCTCAGCCTCGTCTACGACTTGGCAAGGGAGGTGCAGAGCAGGTGAGTCCTGCTGCTGTCCCCTGTCCCCAAACACTGCCCTGGGTCCCCAGTGCAGGGCCCCAGGCAGTGTCACATCCCCATCTTCAATGCAGCCCTTGTGATGCTCAGGTGGGTACCAGCAAACTGGGGCTGTTCAGCCTGGAGAAGAGAAGGCTGCGTGGAGACCTCAGAGCAGCCTTCCAGTATCTGAAGGGGGCTACAAGGATGCTGGAAACTCATCATCAGGGACTGGAGTGATAGGACAAGGGGGAATGGGTTCAAACTTAAACAGGGAAATTCAGGTTAGGTAGAAGGCAGAAGCTCTTCCCTGTGAGGGTGCTGAGGCGCTGGCACAGGGTGCCCAGAGAAGCTGTGGCTGCCCCATCCCTGGCAGTGTTTAAGGCCAGGTTGGACACAGGGGCTTGGAGCAGCTTGGTCTGGTGGAAGGGGTCCCTGCCTGTGGCAGGGGCTGGAACTGGATGAGCTTTAAGGTCCCTTCCAACCCAAACCAGGCTGTGATTCTGTGATTTCCATCCCCCCTCTTACTCAGGGGCAACTTACCGGGCACGTTCAGCCCCATGGGCAGCAGCAGCAGCCTCCTGGCCTTCACGGAGGTGCCGCATGGCCTCACAGCCGTCTCCCCCCTGCCCACTGGAGCCAACATCGGCAGCCGGCAGCCCCCCAGGACCCTGCTGAAGATCCCAGCCGTTGACACCACCATCACCAAGAGCACCCCTGCCCTGCAGCAGATATGTGAGGAGGAAGAGGAGGAGGATGAGGAGGATGAGGGGAGGCCTAGTGCCATGGAGAGGAAGAGCAGCTCACTGAACCAGGAGCAGATGCGAGCCTTCCTGTGCACTCACCACCCATCTAGCTGTGGGGAGCTCTGGGGCCCTGGGGCAGAGCTGGGGGGCTGGGGCTGGGCTGGGAAGGCAGTGAGGGGGGGTTGGGATCCCCCAGCACTGTGGGGAGATGGAGCAGAGCCCCCCAAGAGGAAGGAGGATGCAGACCCCAGGGGTTCCTCTGCAGAGCCCCCCTGGGAAAGGGGAGCCACTGGATCCCCCCAGAGCAGCTCTGCTGAGGTGCCCCAGGGGCTGGGGGCAGAAGTGACCCACAGCGCCCTACCGAGCCCCACGGACAAGTCCGAAGGGCAGGAGGCACCCGGCAGCCTGGCTGAGAGGTCGGTGGAGAGCTCGGGGCTGGGGAGCGTCGAGGGAGGCGTGGAGAACGCGATCAAGCTGGACCCTGGCAAGAGCAAAGGGGGCAGCCTGCGGGACAGGCTCCTGCAGTTCCCGCTCTGTGAGAAGGCGCTGGCCTTCAGACTCCAGCCGGGCTCCAGGGAGACCCTGCTCTCACTGGGGCAGTTCAACTGCTGCCACGTCATTTAGACCCTGCATGAGGGCTCAGGAGGGTACCCCCCCCCCCTTGCTTGTGCTCTGCCCCTGACCCACAGCCCCCAGGGCTGCTGGGGGGGCTCGCAGCTCCTGCTCTGGCACCGGCAGTGGCCCCCAATCAAGCACCCACTTGGGGTGCCCAGGGTGATGTGGGCTGGGGTCCCGCACCCCAAGCCCCAGGGCAGCCCCATGGCCCTGCGTGGGCCACACTGGTTTTTTATCTCCTAGAAATAACTTTTTAAAATAGTCTATTTTAATGTACCTCCATAGAGATTGCTCTATCCCCCTGCCCCACAGCAGGGCTGTGCTGCCTGTAGCAGCCGTGGGGCTGCTGCTTCACTGCGTGCACCCCCCCGCTGCTGTCCCTCCGGACGGGGCCAGGCACAGCTCTGCCCGTGGCACAGCCTGACCCGGCGCCTTCCCCTGCAAATAGGCTTCTATTTATTATCTGTTTGTCTTCTTGCTGGCAAGAACTGAATGAGGAGCATGGTGCGGGCTGGAGCGGGACAACACGTGCGTGCGGAAGGGGGGGCAGCCGCTGGAAGCAAAGTCCATCGGGACAATAAATAAGCTGGTGGGTTGATGCAGGTGCCACGTCTCATTGCCAGAACACCATCATCCACCAGGACAGCTGCCCAGGAGCTGAGATGGGCAGTGAGGGGCTCGTTTCACAGTATCCCAGACTGGTCTGGGTTGGGAGGGACTTTAAAGCTCATCCGGTTCCAACCTCGTGCCACGGGCAGGGACACCTTCCACTGGAGCAGGCTGCTCCAAGCCCTGTCCAACCTGGCCTTGAGCACTGCCAGGGATGGGGCAGCCACTACTTGGGGGCAGCATGGCACAGAGGGTAATAAGGACAGGGATGGAGAACACCCAAAGTCCAAGGAGAGGGAGGCTCAAGGTTCAACTGTGCCCAATAGCTCTCCACTCCCTAACCTGGGGTTGGGGGGCACAAGATACCTCCATGCCCCCAGTTTCAAACTGTCTTCTTTCCCTTCAGCTCTGCTGTGTCTCTCCCGCTTCCATCTATTGTATTTCCTGGTCTCCCTCCATGCATACCCCAAAACACCACCCTTACCTGGGACATCGTGCAACTCGCTGCAGTACTGGGTGGCTGGAACAGCAGTGGTGCTGTGTAGATGGCATGGAGCTGGCCGTGGAGAGATGAGGGAAAAGAAGCAGGGGAAACTTCTGTTTCTGCCCACGGGTTCCCCAGCTTTGCTCCTAAAGGATAAAGCTGTTGCCTGAACAGGGGCTTGAACCCTGGACCCTCAGATTAAAAGTCTGATGCTCTCCCAGCTGAGCTATCCAGGCTCACAGTTGGGGTTTTGGGGGATGCTCAAGACAGGCAGTGAGGACCCCACTTCACTGTGGCCCTGGAGGGACAATGCGGGGACTTGCTTTGGCCTCTTCCACCCCAAGGAAGCCGCCCCAGTGGAGCGCACGCATCCTCCCGTGGTGAGGAGCATCACCAGGACCAGGGCCTCTGCCCTGCCCTGCCCTGCCAGGCACCAGCACCAGGTTCGCCCCGCTGGGGACAGCCGGGAGCCGCAGGGACAAAGGAGGAGGAGGACGGGGGCTCCCCCGGGACCGACCCTCGCTGCGCCCGGGGAGCGCCGGTGCCGCAGGGCTGCGCTGGCAGCAGCGAGAGGGAGCCGGGAGCGGCCGAGGAGCCCCCGCTGGCTCCGGGGGGATCCGGGAGCAGCGGCCGCGGGGCCGCGCTGGGGCCGGGGCTGCTCCGCGCTCAGTCGGTGCCTTGCGCCGGGGCTGCGGCGGCCGCGGCTCCAGCCCGAGTCCCGGCAGCGGCTTTGCCCACAGCCAGGCCTTGGTTTGCGCTGCGCCTTCTCCAGCCCTGCAGGACCGGGCCCCTCTGCTCCAAGGGAATCACCGGGCCAGGCTGGGGAAGATTCAAACCGACCCCAATGCTCATGGTGTGGGGCAGAGCGCCAGGGACAGAGGTTCCACTGGAGCAGGGCATCGTCAGGGACCTCTTTGCACTAACTGGGTTTGTTAAAAGCATCCAGTGAAGGCAGACACCTGCCCTGTGGTTGTGCTGGGACGGGGCTGATGGGCCGGGGGATGGACGGAAGGAAGGAAGCCCCAGGTGGGAGATCAAAGCTTGGTTTATTATCGGGATTAATCAAAGCCCACTGCTTTTTCCCCATGTGTTGTGGTGTGACCCCACCAGAGGCACCCGGACCAGGATCGGGACACCCCGGAGACCCCAGTGTGGGTACAGAGACACCCCACAGAGACACAGTGGGTGCCCCCAACCCTCTGATCCCACAGAGTGGTGCTGAGAGCCCCAGAGCACCCCCATAGGCCCTCATAGAAACACCTTCCCGTCGTGCGCACCCCGCTGTGACCCTCCGCGGCCGCCGTCGGAGAGGACGGGGCCGCCCGCACACCCGGAAGTGCCAGCCCGGGACCACGTGGGGCAGAACCACGTGCCAGCCCGCCATGGCGTCGGCGCCCAAGAGGCCCAAGGTACCGGTGGGGGGGACGGACACGACCCACGGGCGGGCGTGGGGCCGGGCCGGGCCGGGCCGATCGCTCCCCCTCACCGCTCTGTTCCCATCGCAGGCGCCTGCCGGCAGCAGCGCCCGGGGGAACGGCGCCGCCGATCCCCTCTCCGGGTTCCTGGCGTGGTGCGGCCGGGCCGGGGTGCAGCTCAGCCCCAAGGTGAGGAGGCAGCGCGGGCCCCGGACGGCCGGGTTCCCCCGCGGGCAGCCCGGTCACGGCTCCCGTCTCGCCGCAGGTCCGGTTGAGCAGGGAGGGCGCGGTGGCGGGGTACGGCATGGTGGCTGCCGCGGAGCTGGAGCCGGGAGAGGTCCTGTGCACTGTGCCACGCTCCGCGCTGCTGTCCCAGCACACCAGCTCCATCCAGGCGCTCTTGCGGGAAGGTGAGCGCTCCCCCCGCCCTGAGCTGCCTGCTTACCTCGGTCTTCCCGTTTAAAGGAAGAAAATAGGCTTGCATCTATTTCACGTGGGATGCTGGAGCAGAGAGGAAACGGGGTAATTGGGCATTTTATCACCACTGTTAAGACGCTTTTGTTGAGGGCCTGGACAGACTGCTAGGGGGAAGAACACTTCCTTCCTTGCTGAAGATGGGCAAGGGGGTGATGGTGGGATCACAGAGCCAGGTGCCCACCCAAAGCTCCGGAGCAGCAACTTCTGGTTCTGCTTCAGCCAAACCTAAGATAAACCAGAGCAGAACTCCCCCGCCCTGGCTGACAGCCGGGATGGTGGGATAAAGCTTTGGTTCTAGGTCAACTTACATTTGTCTGTGGTTTCTTAGGCCAGGAGTCCCTGCAGAGCCAGTCCGGTTGGGTGCCGCTGCTGCTGGCTCTCCTATACGAGTACACAGCCAGCAACTCCCACTGGCGGCCTTATTTCTCCCTCTGGCAGGACTTCAGGAGCCTGGATCACCCCATGTTCTGGTAAGGCGAAACCTCACAGGGTTGTGGAGAGCTCCCACGAGCAGCTGAACGCAGGCACAGTCCAGGGCTTGCTGAGGAGAGTGGACATGGGCTTGCTGGGTGACCCCAATCCACTGTGCTAGCCCCATCCCAACAGCAGCAGGTGCCCGAGAGACCCTCTAGGCACTGCCATGGGTTGGAGAAACCTGCAGGCATAACCAAAAGACAGAAACCTAGAGAACACCAGGAAGCTCAGATGATGAAGAAATAAGTTTACAGACCCCTCCCTTGGGGCAGATGGAGATAAACCCACTGTGTTTCTTGTAACAGGCCTGAAGAAGAGCGAGGAAGGCTCCTGCAGGGCACAGGCATCCCAGAAGCTGTGGAAAAGGACCTGGCCAACATCCACCTAGAGTACAGCTCCATCATTGTGCCTTTCATGGAGTCCCATCCCAACCTATTTGACCCCAGGCTGCACACACTGGAGCTATACAAGCAGCTGGTAGCATTTGTTATGGCCTACAGGTGAGAAGTGAGGGCTTTGCTCCCACAGGGAGCAAGGACTACAAGTAGGATGACAGGAAAGACTGCAGACTGCATTACTTTCTTGTGCAACAGCAACCTTACATGTAAGGCGGAGCTTCCCCTGTGCTGCAAGGCATGCAACTGGCTTGTCTTCATCTCCCTTCCCTTAGCTTTCAGGAGCCTTTGGAAGAGGAAGATGAAGATGAGAAGGGACCCAATCCGCCAGTGATGGTGCCTGTAGCAGATATTCTGAATCATGTGGCCAACCATAACGCCAACCTGGAATACTCCCCTGTGAGTGCAAAATATCAGGCACCATTGTGGTCTGGTTCCTCTTTGCTGGGAAGCCTTGGGGGGCTGGGTCTGTGAACCCAGGGACAGAGCTGTCTAATATAAAGCTGTTTTGCTCAACATCCTCCCCTGCACTGGCACAGGCCCCATCCCTGGCAGTGCTCAAGGCCAGGTTGGATGGGGCTTGGAGCAACCTGGTCTAGTGGAAGGTGTCCCTCCCTGTGGCCGGGGTTGGAGCTGGATGAGCTTTAAGCCCCCTTCCAACCCAAACGAGTCTGGGATTCCATGATTTTCTCTCTGCCCGCAGCAATGTTTACGCATGGTTACAACACAGCCCATCAGCAAAGGGCAGGAGATCTTCAACACATACGGGCAGATGGCCAACTGGCAGCTCCTCCACATGTATGGCTTTGCAGAGCCGTACCCCAGCAACACCAACGACACAGCCGACATCCAGATGGTGACTGTGCGCACAGCAGCACTGCGGCGTGAGTGGCACTGTGGGCAAGGAAGGGGCAGGGATCCCCTTAAGTAGTGATGTGATGAAACGGGGATCAAGGAGGGCATGAAAAATAAGCCTGTTCCACAACATCACAGGTGCCGGGGCCATGGCTAGGTTTTCTGCCTCCTTGTTCAGCTTCTCTGTTTGCCACTTCCCTTCCACCACAGCCCAGGCTGGGTTTGCATCTCTGCTGTCTTCCAAGCAGGTGCCAGAAGTGAAGCGCAGCAGCGGCTGGTCATAGAGCAGTGGGACTTCTTGTGCCAGCTGGAGATGGTGGGGGAGGAAGGCGCCTTTGTACTTGGCTGGGATGAGGTGCTGACAGAGGAAGAGCTGTCTGTGACCCTGAAGGTAAGGGGTGGAAGAGCTACTCCAGAAAGAGCAGAGATTATGCAGGGGGAGCAGCTTGGTGAAGGGGGAGCAGCGTGGTACTAATGCTCCTGTGGGAAGTGCGGTAGGGAGCATGGCTGCCCAGCTCTCAGGCTTCAGGCACTGTTGTTGGCCACCTTCCTTTCCTGACCCATGGCTTACACACCAGCCCTGAATGGCTTCACAGCTGCTGCTGCTGCTCTAGAGCACGGCTGCACCTTCCTAGAATCAGAATGCCAGGTGGAAGGGATCTCAAGGATCCTCTGGTCCAACCTTTCTGGGTAAACCTGACCTAGACTAGGTGTCCCAGCACCCTGTTCAGCTGAATCTTACAGTCTCCAGCATTGGGAAGTTGCCACTTCCCTGGGCAATTATTGCAGTGTCTGATTGTTCTCAGTTTGAAACATTTTCCTCCTGTGTCCAGTCAGAATATCCCCAGGAGGAACTTGTGCCCATCACCCCTTTTCTATTCCATGGAACTTCTTGTAAAAAGGGAGTCTCCACCTTCTTTGCAAACACTCTGTAAATACTAACTCCTTGCTCAAGGCTGAGCAGACCCAGCACTCTCGGCCTTTCCTTGCACAGCTTCCCAGTCTTTGGATCATTGTTGTGGCCCTTTTCTGGACCCTCTCCAGCTTGTGTAGGTAGCAGCAAAGATCATTACCATTGCTGCCAATACCCAGGTTTGCTGTTTGGCTGTTCTAACCCACAGGTTACTTGTGATTTAGATACCTGAGTCAGTTTTACTCTCTCGCCTTCAGTGCAGCTGAGGAATAATTCACTTCCCCCACATGGCTCTAAACCCACAGCTCTGCAGAGGAGGCTGATGTATTCACACTCCTGGTGACTTGTCTCTTTGCTTGGGCCATTACAGGTGCTGTGCATGTCAGAAGAAGAATTCAAGGAGTATAAGGAACAGGACAGCTGGGAAGATGACAGTGAGGAAGAGGAAAATCTGACCCTTTCAAACGAGGCTCTCTCCAGACTTAAACCCCCTTGCAAGCAGCTCCTTTATGACAGCGTGCTGCTCACTCTGGAGTCCTACAGGTCAGACTTGAAAGCAGAGCAGGACCTGCTACATAACAAGGAAGCTTATGAGAAACTGAGTCGAAGGGAGCAGCAAGCTTTGCACGTGCGCTATGGACAGAAAAGGATCTTGTATCAGCTTCTGGAGCTGGTACACTAGAAACATCACTGTCCCTGGAAATGAACTGCCTGGAGCTGTGTATAGGAAGGGAAAGTTGGCCTTCAGCCATCTCTTCTACAACAGCAAAAACAGCAGGATTGAATACAGGCCCACTTATACTGCATCTTGAATGTGGCTGTTTAGCTTCCTCTACCTAAACTATCTTCCACAATACAGAGTGATTTTGGGTGGCCTTACCTTATCATGAGAGCTCTGGAGCACAATTACCACCTTCTAGAGCACTTCAGAAAGCCCAGACCTCCTCCTGGCTGACTTTAGGAAAGCATACGTACACTATCAGAACAGCAGGTGGGTTCCCTCATGTAGCATCACAAATCTAAGGCAAGAACTGCTTCTTGGCCAGATGGAGAGGGCAGAAATCCATCTGATAGGCCTTACACCTTACTGTTCAGAGTGAACATCTGGCAGGCGGAGATGCTGACAACACTGTGAACTCTTCCACCTATACTTGGCTAATATTAAGCATTTAAAAAAGTACACACTCATCCATCTGGTTTTCAGATAGGCTCAATAGAGCAGGTATCCCCTTTTACCTTTCTGAAAGGCATTTCTGTATGGGCTTGGGGCAGCTCTGAAGGAACACTGACACAATTGTGCAGGTCCTCCAGCTGACACGAGTTCTCCCCTGATCTCAGGCACTGCTCTGCATCATGTTAAGCTATATTAATATCCCTCAGCAGTTCTTGTATGACAGATCACTGGAGGTTTGCAGGCCAAGCTATATTTAATAAAGATGCTGTTTCTTACCCAGCCAACACTGTCTACTTTAGAGTGCACAGCCCCATCCAAGGGTCCGGGGCAGAGGGAGGTTTTTGCTCCTGCTGCAGTTAGAAGTATTTCAAACAAGCAAAACCCAGACTGTACTCATGTAGATAAAGGTCAGCTACAGCCCTACCTGCACTGCTAGGGGCCAGGGTGGTTTCACAGTGCCTAGGGTAGCTTTGTCCAATTCCCCTTACAGAGTGGTGCAATGCAGTGTCTGGTTGGAGTCCAGCCTGCTGTCTTGGTGCTTCTCTCCCTCCAGCAGACTGGATTTCACGTTAGGCGTATGTGGTAGCTCAAAAGGTCACTCTTATTTTCTTAAACATTAATTCTACCCAGGGCATCTGCTGGTAGGGACACCAGGAATGGGTGTGGAGTTGACATCAGCATGATTGACAGTACTAGCTGCAGGTTCCTTACCAGCCAACAGAGGGTATGAAGTGCAACGGCCTCTGTTGTACCAGCCCAATTTGTGTTACTGGGATCCTGGCCAAGACCTGTCCACCTTCCACCCCTCTTTACATCACCCTTGCAGTTCTGAAAGCATCAAGAGAACCAGTCACGGACAGCAGCATTAGTACAGAACCAGAGAGATCTTTGAGTCATTAGACAGGCTCTGCATAAGGTCTGGTAAAGAGAAATAGCAGGAAAAAAGCCCCATGGCATCCTGCCTAGATAAAAACTGGCTGGCAGTAATTCTTTGTATCCCAAACCAACACAGGAAGGGGAATAAGCTGGAGCTGCAACACTAGAACAAAAAATCCTCCCTGAGCTGCAGTCCCCTGGCACAACTGGCTCCATGGTCCCTTGCAGCTGGTTTTAGCTCTGCAGGGAAAGCACAATCCCTTAAACCTGAGCTGGAAATCGTGACCTCTCCACTCTTACAACTAGCAGCCAACTAGTCATGTTGTACAGAGGGGAAGCAGTGAAGCTCTGTTTCCTAGTATCTGCTGAGCTGTGAGGTACGGGCGGAAGGATTTTGCAGTACTGGCAGCACTGAAGCCACCTATCTTTATTCCAGGAAGCTAGCGACCTTGTACAGATCCTTGCTGAAGGGAATAACACAGGAGGGTAGAAATCATTAGAAATTAAGCCAAGCTGCTGTCTGTGCTCAGCATCCCTCTGCTGCCAGCACAATCCTTTTAGAACTGTGTCAGGGACAGACTCTGCTCCTTATCCTGCAACTAAGGTATTTCTCCACACAACTGCCCTTTCCTTTGGCACTTCAGAGCAAGGCCCCATCTAGTTCTATCAATTGTCCCCCTTGGATCTCACCTAGAAAACCCATGTGTTTTCAATAGGCAGAGTCCAAAATACTGGAAATCAGCAGGTTTTGGATGGGTGGAGCAGACTTTGTAAGACGCCAACTGGCCAGGCAGGATGGAACTGGAGAGAATAAGCACAGTGGCACGTGCTGCATGTCATGACTTTAATGTGTAACTACAATATGCATACATACAAGAAGTGGGAAAAATAAAGCCCAAGAACTAGAAAGGCTACAAAATACAACACATGGACCAATACTTTACAAAACATTCAAAATCCTTACAAAATGGGCTGTATTGGTCCTTTGAGGTTTTTCTTTTTTTCTTTTTCTTTTTTGTAGAAACTTATACTGTGCGGTCATGGGGCAGGGGGGGGTGTGAGTGGGGAAAGGTCTAGATTTAAACTCCCACCTTCCAAAATTTACAACTGTCAAAAAACCCAAAAACCAACAACAAACCCAAAAAAAAGCTATAGGCCTGGTCTCTAGTTTCTTCACTAAAACCAGCTGACCCCCTCCCAAAGGGCCTGCCTGAGGTGAGTCTTCTCCAACAGAAAGGAGGCGTTCTCTGCTTGCCACTCCACTTGCTGTCTGTCAGCAATTCATGAGGGTGTGAGGAAAGCAACACTGAACCTTAACCCTTCCCTCACCCCTTCCCATGCTCCATAGTATTTCAAATTCCAAACACATCCACCTTTTTTTTTTAGTGAAACAACTTAGCAATTTAAAAGGTCCCCCATCCACATAAAGAAAAATAAGTTATATAATATTATAACTGGCTTTTCAATATTCTTTGGGAGTCTGGGAGTGTCAGGACAAGGAGGTCTGCCCCAGACAAGTGCTTGGCATCAGCAGCTGTCCCTTTATTACAAGCTGGACAGGCACCAGTTACCCATCTGCCTTTTACACAATTTGCACAAACCCAGAAGTCCAGGCAAATGTTTCTGTTCTTTGTATTTACATTAGTTCAAAATGATATTCACAGCATCTTCTGAATTTTGGCCAAAAGTAAAAAAAACTGGTTTCAAACTTTGGAACGTTTTTGAACAACTGAAACTTTTTGAACAGCTTTAACCAGGGTCTGTTGCATCTACCCAATCAAGAGGGCTGGGAAGGTCAGGAGGAGCCTTACAGAGTCTTCTATCAGTCGATGGTATGGGGGCCCCCAGACTGGCACGCTTACAACATGACATGTGGCTCATCTAACTGGTACCAGTCCCTTCCATCACTTGCTGGGCTTGCTTCTGCCCCATGCAGCACTGTGCAACTGACTGGAACAACCTGGACACAGAAGCAAAGCAGTGTTAGATGTATTTATGGCAGCAAGTGGTGCTTCCACTACAAAGCACCAAAAACCCAGTGCAACTCAGCCCCTGCTTCACATAACATGGTGTCAGTGAACTTTGTGGTTAATTTATACTCACTTCTCAATTTCTGGGGCACAGTGAACAAACTCATGGTTCCAGAACTTAAATGCTGGATTTTTTATCAGCTCAATGAAAGTAATAAGGAGACCCCAAGGATGAGGCCTGTTTACAATCAGTCGTTCCAAGAGAACCCTGAAATCCAAAAGTCAAACCAGTCAGAACTCAAAAGAGCCAAAACACACAAGGAAGGAAAGTTAAAAGCTGTATGCTGGCACACAAAACACATCTCACCTAGTGATCTGCTCCTGGATAGCCTCAGTGTTGGCCTCTGCAAATAGGTAGAGCATGGTGCAACTGAAGTAGTGGGTGTGACTGTTGGGGTATCGCAGCTGGTTGGCGATTGCGTTCAAGAAAAGGTACCGGCCTGCAGAAGAAGCAGTAAGTACAGATGGTTTCCCTTACACACGTTGCAGAAAGGAGTAAGAAGCAGCTAGTATTGAGGTTTGGGTTTGTGAGCCTGCCTTTTGAAGGTAGAACAAACAAAACCAACTGATGATACAAAAAACCAACCTGATAGGACAGGAAGAATTCCATTCCCCTTCATTAAACCTATTGTTCATTCCCTTCAATATCCTGAATATTTGGCTTTAATATTGCTCCTGTATTCAGAGTGGAACATTATAACACAGCATGACTTGCTGTGAATTCCCTAGCAGCTACATAAAATCATGTCCTGTATTTCTCATGGTGCCAACAGACAATCTACTGTTAATTTTGACATCTCATGAACTAGAAGTGTTTCCAGCTCACCTTCAGTGTCCAGGTCTACTGCCAAGTTCTGGAAGATGTCCATGTGAGCTGAGTGGGTAATGGTACTCATAGAGGGTGTGCTGCCTTTGTTGTGAATGTGCGCAATAGCTTGAGTACCTACGTAGAGCACCAGGGCATTAATCAGCTGGATGTTGTAGCGGTTGCCGGGTTCATTTGATACCTAATAGCAAAGACAGAAAAAGCATTAACAGTATATATTCCTTCAGTGACCGAAGGTACAGCATGTACAAGAACAGCATCCAAGTCTCCTCTTGATTATACAAAAGAGAACACACTGAGGACATCAACAAATTCAGTTTAGCATTTACCCTTTCATAATAGAGCAGATATATACATCTGTGTATGTGTGTATTCAGAAACACCAGAAAAAGTGTTCACAGACCCAATGGGCAACTTCTGTACTCCCTACAAAAGGCACAGGCAATGTGAATTCACCAGCAGTGCCAGAGGGCAGCTGACACACACACAGCCTATACAAATGCTTCCATACAAGCACTTTTCTGAGGAAGTCCCATTTCAGCCCTAAAGTCTAATGCAAACCAAGCCTTGTGATGTACAAGATGTGGCTGCCTTTTTTTATTCCTACAACACTAGCATGCAGATTCACAGATTTCTAGAACAATGAATCCACTCTGAGTCAAAATCTAATCATATTCTAAAAAAAAAAAATAACAGTAATTTAAATTCAATCAAGTTCCATAAACCCCATTGAAGCATTACTCAAGAAATGCCTGGCTAAGCAGTGCTGGAGGCATGTGATGGAAGCCACAAGACTTCATCGCCCAAAGGCTGAGGACAAAGAAACCAAGCTTAATACAGTCAGCTCTGACTGCATTCTTTACTAAGATTTGCAAGGTTGTGCACTACAGACATGTAAGCAGAGGAGTCAGAGTTTTAGATAGCTCTACAATTTCACCACAAGCACTTGGCTGTTCATGTAGATAAAACCACCTGCTTTTAAATGAAATAATTTTAGGGTCCTTAAAGTTAATGTGCTTCTCCCCTTGAATTCCACCTCTCTGAAACTACTTAACATACACTTAAACATCCTGTTAGGAAGTGGTAAAAGAAGCATGCATTTCACAGGGCTTTTCTACTGCCTGGAACACATGCTTTCTACGCACCAACGAAACTCCTGCAAGGAAGGAGGGTGACTCAAGCAGTGAAATCATTTGTCCCAAGCCATCTGAACTTAGCATCATCAGAAACCACTCACCTGTAGGTTGCTACGCAAGTCAGACAAAAAGGTGACCGGCGAGCGGGTTTTGAGATAGGAATCCAAGTCTTTCTTGAACTGAGGTGGCATCACTCCAGTGAAATTTGTGAGTATTCGCGGAGCAATATTAATCTCACTTAACATATCCACCTGTGGAGAGAAAACCCAGTCAGATAAACCATAAGCACTCCCTAAAGCAACAGACTGCAAAACCAGATCTGTAAGTGATTATTACATTAACTACTGCTGTTAATCACTTTTTCCTACCAGCAGTGAAAAGGAAACAATAGGCTTTTGCAGATTCCAGAAGAAACTCAGTCTGATGTGCAAACTTGTTAGATGACTGTTTCAAAGAATGGAGAGTAGAAGATAAAAGAAGGGTGAGGGCCACAGGGGAATTCAGTCACCACCTGTGAAGTCTCCCTACCTACACTAGTTTAAGAAAGTACCAACATCAACACAAGTCAGGAACAGGCTTTGTCAGTCTCAACAAATGTTGAGTATTGCAGCTTTGCTCCTATCACTCTGCACAGCTCAGGCAAAGAAGAATAACAGGACAATGCTTTAGCAGTGTGAGAAAGTTTGCCTCCAGGATGAGGAGCCTGGCATAAGCCAGAAGATTTTATTTGGTAACATTAACACTTTTCAAAACCTCTCCAAATGATGCAAAAGGCTTGTCTCAGAATGGTGATTTATCTCACTATTTTCAAGGTAAGATGGAATCTACGTTGCTCATCCAAAAGTATCTGCAATTACATAGTTCTCTTCACCGGTTCTTCAATAATTAGATAACTGAACTCCAGTCGCCACACATCCTGCAGAGCACAAACTGTACAATTCAGCATGAGGTGAACAAAACAGGCAGGAACTGTTGTCTGAACTTCCAAACAGCAAAGACACAAAGACTGCTTAAGCAGTCTGGTTTTCAGTGACAAATGAGACAGGAAAATGATAAAGATGCCCTTGCTCAAACATGTTCTGCCAGTCAGATTTAGGGACATCATAAAATAGGTCTCCCTTTGCGAAAAGTCCTCTGATTTCTCATGCAAAGCTAGGTTGCCAGGGCAGGTGTCATGTAATACAAGTCTCACCAGTCTGTCCTTCTAGGTTGAACTTGCACAGACCTTGCGAGTGAGCCAATTACCTATGGGTGCCAATGAAGCCATATAGAAAGAGACAAGCTTTATGCTTCCAGCTGCAACAGACTTCATGCAGACAAGGCTGTATCCTGCTTGTGTGGAAAACCTCAAACACTCCGTGTTACAAACTTAAGTGAAGCCTACCTGCTTTAAAAAAAAATATGCTGTTCTGCTAGCTGCTATGTGACTTATGTTTCCAATTACCTGTTAACTTCTGAATAGTTGCATTAATTCAAGTATCAGTGAAACTGTTCCCGAATTTTCAGTCTCCACCAAAAAAAAAGTGAAGAGTACTTAGAGCACTAAAGCTTCCCAATATCAAGCTTGTGAATGGAAGTCTTACCTTTAGATTGGGGGTGAAAGGGTCTGGAAGCCTCATGTTCCGTGGGAAGGCACTCAGGATCAGATTCCTTAGCTGAATACAGTTAGGTGGGATCACATCACAGAAACCATAGTGGTAGTCACAAAGGAATTCTGGGAAATCATGCAACAAGACCAGCAACACACGCAGAGTACCCTGGGAAATAAAATATGAGAGAGCTTGCAGAGCCATCCTTCCACGTCATGTGATTAATACTAACGGGAAGAAGTTCATTTGGGGAGGCAGTCAGTTTCTGTCCCACATCAAATTTGCATTTAACTCTGAAGATGCAAGTTCTAAAAGCACATTAAATCCTATTTTGACACCCCAAAACCTCTACTTTCGGACAACTCTGGCTAGAAGCAGCATCTATTAGCTGGCATTTTTTTCACCTTGTAAAGAATTTGCATAGGTTTGGTGAGTTCCACATTTCTAAGGAAAGGAGCCAAGTACTTGAAGAGATCAATCAGTAACTGGGCATACATAGGCCAACCCTGTCAAGAGAAAAACAGCAGGTGGAAAATGTGCAGTAAAGAGCAGTTATCTTAAGTTCAAAAACTATAATTAGATTGGTCTTCATATAAACCTGGATCAGAGTTATGTCTCACTGCTACCTCTAGCATTGAGTGCAGCACAGCTTTAGCTGCACATCATATGCTACGGGTGTTTCTAGAACACTCCACATGACATTCTGATTTGGTAGTATTTGGTCTGGACGACAGCTCTTTCAGACTTTAACAAAAGCATGTTTATTAACCTCAGTTCACCCTAGAGCCCATTGTTCACTGACACAAAGATTCTCCTCCATGCAGTTAGGTGACTGTGAATATGGAAGACAACAAAACAGAACAGCCATGCTACTAGTGCACTTCCAGAGATGTGAAACAGCATCACACTAGATAAGCATCTCTGTGAATTCCTTAATTCAGAAGAGATAAACTGCAGCCACACCTTCTGCTGTGGTGTATGTGCCAGCATTCTTGCAATAAATATCCGATGGGAGATCAGTTCCAGCCAGGCATAAACAAAACCTGGAGCTTTTGTAGGCCTCAGGATGTGAAATGTGTTACTGAAAGAAAAGTTAGAGCAGGTTAGAAGTGCACAGCAATAAGATTGCTTTTCGTAACATTGAAGGAAAACATACACAGCCCTAGAAGCAAGGCATTTTAGCAACTTGTGTTTTACCATCATCTTCCTTAAAACAAGCAAGTAGAAAGTCTACAGGAGAACCAGTTATTCCAAATGTGATTAAGCCACCACAAAGGAACAGTCAGATAGCCTCTGAATGAAAAATCCAAGAAAGGATAAGCATTGTGGCCAATCTCAAGTACATACCAGAATGCTGTGAGTGTCTGGAAGTTGATGGTCTCCAGCACATGCTCAGGAGCATTTAATTCCAACAGCAGCATGATGAAAATACGATGGTAAGGAAGTTGCTGAAACTCACTCTGCCGAACATCATGGTCTTGCAGGAGAACTCCCACCACAATACCAAGGACCTAAAGAGATCAAGACATGACAGTGGTGACAGTAAGCACTACTTTCCAAGTCTGCCTATAGGTAACACTTTAAGCTGTAGGTAAAAAAATGTAATTTGTAGATTCTAACAAGAACCAAAACTTGTAGTTATTGACAGTGCTAAGTAAATTGCTATAATTTGTATCAGCAACTCCCAACCATGGTATTTTGTGTACTCCCTGTCCCATGGGTCACAACAACTTACTGAGCAGTGTTGGGAGACCTGAACTGCCTAGGACTTCCTAGCCATAAACAGAGTAGTGTGAAAGTATTGACAAGGTCCTCACAAAACCAAGCCAGACACCCAGGAATCACCCACTTTAAAGCAAACTTTTAAGGCCTCAAAACAATAGCAGAGGATTTTTTCATTTCAAGGCACAAAGGTGAGTTTCAGGTTTGCTTAATATGAATTCTTTGTGAACAAGAAAGCCACCTGGCATGCTGATGCTCTACTCAACAGTTTATCAAGTCCTCAATCTCATCTGTCAGCAGTAGCCTGCACTGCGGTCTACATTTTACGTTAATCAGAAAAGGCACGCCCAATTCTGCACTTTAAATGCCAGGAGTGCAAAACCAGTTCCAAACCTTATTCAGGAGGTTGATCTTTGTAACTGTGTTGGTTGCCTCCCCAGAATGCTTCACTAGCAGTGCAATAAGTCGCACAAAGGCATCCAGATTGTGGTAGCACTTGGCTCGAATCATAGTGGGGTTGGCAGCAGGGTTATGCTGCTGCTCAGCCTGAGCACGATAGCTGATTTCAACACACATTTCAGTGCAGAGGCGGAAAAAGCGGGTGATCAGGTCATCGGTTTTCAGGATTCCTTGCTGGTGCATCTATCCAGGAAAAGAAAAAAAATCAGAACTATAACCTCAGGAAGTGACTTTTACAACTTACTTCAAACAGCACACACTTTACAAAGCACTCACTTTGCCTGGCACAATTAATTTTTACCATGCTCTCAAGAGAGATGGGTAGCAAGCCATCTCTGCTACTCCTTCCCAGTATGAGTATTTAAGGCAATTTGAGGGTGGCAACACAATTTTAGCAAAGGCATTTACTCCCAGATAGAGTCTTTTTGATCCAAACTCTTTTCAACCATCAGCATAGCTGAGGAGCCTGTTTCAGTATCAGTTCTGCCACCAGTACTCAACCTTGCATGACAGTGAGAGGTAGCAGCAGTAGTTCTTCTGTCCAGTCTTCAGGAGCCCATGCAGGATGTACAAGCTGTATGCAGGGCAGACCTGAGCTGCTAGCTCAGGAACCATCACTACTTTGCAGCAACACAGAATCACAGACTAGTTTGGGTTGGAAGGGACTTTAAGATTATCCAGTTCCAACCTTTCACCATGGGCATGGAGAGTGAATTTTCCTTACAGGAACATGACACACAGAGAAAGTATGGGTGGGCTTTTTTGTCTGTTTTACATTGGGGCTTGTTTTCAGTAACATATATCTTAAAGACACCTCCTTATTTGTTACCTGTAGCATTAAAACCATCAAAATGAAACAAATTACACTGCATAAACACCATGATTTGTAACACCTGGAGAACTTCTAGTATTTCTGAAGAAACTTTTTTAAAGAAAGGAATTCATGTATCAGCTTTCAAAGTACTGTGCTCTTTGTTCTAAAGACTAGTGCAAAGAAAGCAATGCTTAATTTAGGCAGCCAAAATTATGGTAATTTAAGTTCAATAATGAAGCCTTGTTTAATAGTTATTAGTATATTTCTCTAAACCCCATAGCTAAGGCCTGTAAGAAAATAATTATATATCTCAACACTTTGATATACTGCATTTGCTAGTTCAAGCAAGTACACTAAGTCAGGGGCTTCCTTGCAGCTGCAGTCAAGGAGCTCCCAGGAAGACAGTTTTATGACTATGACTGTAGATATACAGGGATTTTGGTATCACATATATTTGGCTATAGGAGGCATCTCCCTGCTCAGTCACACCTGGAAGGCAGATGTGAGCTGTTCATCACAGCTGTTAAAGAGTCCTGAAGGAAAATGCCAGAAGCCATTTAAATCTAGGCACCTCTTTAGCTAATGAAGTTTCAAGTTTTTCCTCACTCTAATGAATGATTCCTATTAAAAAAAAGAAAAAAAAACCAAGGATTTTCTTGTTCACATGGTCTGAAACAATTCACTTGCAACAATATAAACAACTTCCTTTTGCAGGCTGTCTTGGCCTTTATCTGTTACCCATAAGGAGCAACACTATACTCAAGCTTCATTACACAGAGTGTGTCAGCTCTATTGCAATGACCTATCTCACCTGAAGCTCTCCCACCAAATTTATCCCAAACTGAACTGACAGGTTGTTGCTACAGTATCTGAAGAACATGATTTGGGGAAGGCCAGGGGTTTCTACAGAAATTTCCATCAAAACCAGGCAGAATTTTGACAGTCGACTGCCATACACCTGGAAGTTTCAAAAGGACGCCTAGCATGGGTTACAACACTGCCTGAAAATGAAGGGCATCACACCCTACTGACATTGAATAAAAAGCACCTTTCTTTCCAAAAGCTCTACCTGTCCAACAAATGCAGAGAATGCTTTGGTACTGTCACGGCCTGCGGCAGCTGAATGGTAGAGGTTCACCCACTCCCTCAGCAGGTATTCTGCCTTCTCCCTGAGACCTGGTGGGTCATCATACTCAGAGGCTTGGGAAATTCCTGAATGCATCATGAAATTAGGACCTCCGTGAGCACGATCAATCATTGCTTCATAGTTTGATCGGACCACTTCCATCAGCTGTGGTAACCTAACACAACAGAGCAAGAGCTGGGTTAGAATTTCTTCTCCACTAACAGATGCAGGAACCAGTAGCTCAGTCAAATATAATTGGAAGCAAGTTATTTCTTATAATAAATCTTTCATAGCAGAAAGAATGGGTGCAGATACATTTACGATGAAAGAAGGAACATTGAGATCAGCCAAGCTTTGACGTTTCACTTCAATTCATCCAGTTCTGTGCTGCAACAAAGCACCATGAGTACTTAAAAGCCCTAAAAATCTGTGAGACAGTGAGATGTCAGTGCTAAACAGCCTGGCGGGGGTACTACATTTGGCTGCAGTGGAAGTTAAGTCATACAGCAAAGACAGCGCACCCAAGCTGTTCACAAACCCAAACCAAACTGGGAAAAGGACTTTTGTTTGGGATTTGCCACTAGCAGTTGTGTTGGTAGCAGCAGCCACCGCCAACACAAGCCCCAGCTGCTAGCTGATCTGAAGCAATCCTGAGCTCTCCAAGCTCCAATACATTTCTTCCTCAAACCCAGCAGCAATTGCTTCCACCTTAGCAATAGGAAGCCTGCAAATCACATAGGTTATTTCCAGATGCTGTGGCTGTTTGCTGCTCAATTATCTGCTGGTGGATACACAAGCCACATGAGGTTGGTGAGTGATTGCTTTGTAGACTCCAAACAAAACTGTCTAAAGAAGCAAAGAGGATTGTCTAATTTGATGGCCTGCTCCTGATTAACAAATAAACATATTAACACCTTGATATTAAACGTGAACAGGTAAAAATTTTCCCCAAATTTGAGATGAGGCAGCCCTCGAGAAAGTTTAAAACGATATGATTTGAGACACTGTCTATATAACATTCAAATAGTAAATGAGCACAAGTAGTAATATACCACACAGTATTTCAATCTCACCCTTCTGGGGCATTTCCTCTGGAATGAGCATTAATCCTCATGAGTGTCTCAATTGTGTGAAACAGATCTGCCTCTGTTACATGGGCGACACTCCTCTCATCCACCAACAGGATCTTTACCAGCTGCATGGCAAATGCCACAGCCATGTAGTTCAAGCCATTCTCCATTGACTGTCAACATGAGAAAGGAAACTGAAGTTCAATCACAGATTTTTAAGTGGACTGAGCATCACCGTTTTCCTCCAAAAGAACAGGTACCCTCTACCTGAGCCAAGTGGAGGTCATACTGCTGCATGTTAACAAGGTGATTGCGGATCAGCAGCTCCACAGCTTCCACGTTGTACTTGTACTCATCTCTGCATTCAATCAGGCACCTGAAGAATTAGAGTGCTTTTAAAAAGCATACTTAACACAGTTTTAGTAAAGCAACTCAAATCTACTACTTCGGAAGCTGTGCCATTCACTGTGATTTGCTATTTGGCTCTAGAAGAATTCTCTTCTAGAGCATTCTGAGGCAATGCTCCAGCTGAAAACAGCCACCAGCCTCAAACATTTGCTGCCCTGCAAAACTGGTCCCAACATTCCTTAAAGAGCTTTAGCAGAAGCAGCTCTCTTCTAGGGACCAAGTGGCACAGCTGCTGAAGTACCAGTGCTCCTGCTGCAGGAATATGCCATGTCACATAGTTTGTGACAGCTCAGAGACACTCTCTGTAAAATGAGTGCAAAAAACCCCAACCCCCAGAGCACTTCTAATGTCTAATTCCACAGAAGATTCCTATCATGTTCTAGATGAAGCAGCATTATAAGATCTGGTTACTTTTGACAAAAGCTAGTTACTTTGTCCAAATTGCAGCAATGCAAAATATTAACAAGCAAGAGATTCAGAATACAAAGGAACTCCCAAAAGATGATGAAAGCAACATCAGTGTTTCTGTTGTCTCATAACTGACCTAGTAATTTGTTTATTACACCATGGAGATCCATAGGCACGTCCATCCTGCAGAGCCTTCAGCACAAGCAGATGACACTCACGATAGCGAAGCAGGAGGTCAGCATCTGCCCCACTGGTGGCATCCAGTAAGCCCTCTACAGCCTAAAATAGATGCAACCTGTTAGCAGAGGAAAAAACAAGTCCTCTTCCAAGTCTTCTCCAAATTACATCAGTAACGGTTATCACCAGAAGACTGAGATTTGCTAAAACCAATTTAGTTATCATGTTGACCCCTTGATGAGACTATGTGAGATTTTACCAGCTACTACAGCATCTACACGTTCACTGGACACAGCTGTCCTACCACAAACAAGCCTCTCTGTGCCCCACTTCATATATGCACCAAGTAGTCTGAAAGACTGCATTAGTTTGTACTGCAGCTTCTCTAATTCAGTGCCTCCACACAAGCAATTTTGCATATGGCTCATGGAAAATAACATGGAAGGAGATCTGCAGAACCTGCCAGAGGCTAGCTCTTAGCTTTTTTGGACAAAGAGCTGCAGCACTCAGATGCACCTGTGCTAGTCTCTATAGCAAATGAAAGACTAATCTTACAGGGGCAGCAAAATTTACACAGGCAAGTCATAGTCAGGATTAGATTCTTTAATAGGTACAAGCACTACCAGTCAAGAATAGTCTCCCTCCAGTTTGTGTTTTGCTGCTGCTCTTGGATCTTCAGGTAGGCAAATCCTTCCACTATCCTCAAATGGATTTTTCTCCACATGCGTCACTATGCTCTGCACTAATAATCAAGCACAGATGCCTGCTCAGCTCACAGAGCTCACTGTGACACTCCCCTCCTGGTACAGTCTATTAGTTCTGGCTGGAATGGAGTTAATTTGCTTCCTGGAAGCCCATATGATGCTGTGCTTTGGATTTCTGTTGAAACACTGTCGACAACACACCCATGTTTTGCCAGTTGCTGAACAGCACTTGCACAGCATCAAGGTTTTCTTTCCCACTCTGCCTCCTTCACCAGTTGGCATGCTGGGGATGGGCACGAGGCTGGGAAGCAACACAGCCAGGACAACTGAACCAAACTGAATGAAGGCATGTTCCATACCATACAACATCATGCTCAGCAATAAAAGGTCAGAGAAAGGAGGATGAAGGTAGGCATTCATAGCCATGTTTGCCTTTCCAAGCAGATGTTCCATGTGCTGAAGCCCTGCTTCAGGAGTGGCTAGACAGCTGTGGGCTGATGGGAAGCAGTGATTTTTATTTTTGTTCTGTTTGTTGAAAAGCACACAGCTTTTCTTTCCCTACTAAGATGCCATAATCTGAATGAACAAGTCATCTTGCCTTCCCTTTATTTTCTCCCTGTCCTGCAGAACAGCAGAATGAGTGAGCAGCTAAATGGGATGCTTGGTTGTTGGCCAGTGTCAACCCACCAGGCATACTCGCTTGTCAGTTACTCAAAATACAATCCCTCTGTGTGCCACTATGAATACAGTCCTACACTCAATAATATCTACCTATATGGGCAATTCAAATGTCATCTTAGCCTACAGATCATTCTGAAATGAAAGACTGCTCCTGAGTGCAGTAGCTCTCTACTTGCCTCATTTGAACAAAACTCCTCTAAATCCCAGGATTCTGTACCTGCTTTTTTCCATAGCAGCCTGGCCCCTGCATGTACAAAACACCATGTGAACATCTTGACACTCTTCCAATTTCATTTACTGAATTTCCAAAGACAGCAGCTGCTCAGTACTCTTCCCCAAGCAAGACCCACAGGATAGATGAAAGTACACAGTGACCAGCAATGCAATCCACAAGCCAGATGAGTAATAAATTAGGTGAGCTGTTACAGGAGAAGAGTTGCTAACATTCACCTTCTGCAGCAGTCCAAGTGCAGCAATAGCATCCCGGGAGTTCCGAGCCACTACTACAGCCTCCAAGAGGCTGCGCAACGCTTGAGCTTGAGGATTCATGGCCAAGGTGTGTGGAATGGACTGCAGGTGCTGCTCCAGTTCTGTCATACACTTGTCATAGATTTGTGCAACATCATCTGTCGCCCAAGCTTGCTGCTTAAGAGAAAGTGGGAATGAGTGTTTTTTGCAAGGATTATATTTGTGCAACTCATACTGACTGGCTATTACATCCAGAATTTATACCTCTAAAGTACTGTGGTTAGTTATGTTGGCATTTTAAATACACAAATATGACAAATTAAGCTGTGGAAACTAGCAAGCAATTCCAACAGTCCTTAAGACCAAGAATGCATATAAAAACCTTTGTTATCTCAAAATCCATGCTTGCCATCCATGGTCTTTCTGCAAAAGTAACATAGGATTTGTATAAAATATTTCACTGCTACTAAAATTACACATGGTAATCACAACCTGCAGATCTTGTCCCAGTTTGGGTTACAACCCTCTAAGACTGCATGTTAAGTTTTAATGTCGGCTTAATGACAAAATAAAACTAATGCATCTTACAACCACTACTCCCAAGCCTGATTCTTACTAGTCTTCTAGCAAGAGACATAAGTTCCAAAACATTCAACAACAGGGCTATAATACTCACAAACCAATTAATTCAGAAATCTTTACCTTCATAGGCTGAGCTAAGAATCCTGTGGGCTGAGTTAAGTCATTGGTAGGGAGGAAGCCAGGGACATTTCGTGCAAACTCTTCATAAACAGCCAGCTGTTTTGGGTCCACACCTCCAACCTTTTCAATGAAAAGAACAGACATTAACCTCACTGTTAAGCACTGTGGCAGTAAGAAATGAGGGCAATTTGTGTTAACAGGTAGCTGGCTCAGTCACACTCTTAAATTGAGTGGCCTAGACACCAAGAAGTAGGAGGTCCTATCATAATGGCTCCATCCACAGCTGACAAGAGAAATGCTCTACTGAAAGCACAAGATACTTCTCTAAAGAAGAAAACATAAGATCACAATGAAACAGGCTAGCCATCTTTCAGTGCAAGGAGCAGCACAGCACAAGAGACAGGACTTTCTACTGTCCTCAAAGAATTGAGAAAAGTTGTAAAAACACTCTGGACCAACTTATTCATGTTTCCATTACTAATCAAGCTTATAGCAGTTGCAGCACTAGTAGACAAGACCAGCAATATACAGTATTGCTCAGCTGAAGCTCTGCCACTCACTTTTCATTATAAGGAGGGGGAGCAAAGCCACATCAGAGTGTGGCTCAGTTAATATCCTCACCTTTAAGCGGATCTGTTCTGGCATCCTCTCAGCCTGGTAAGTCAGCACAACAGGATCACAGTACCGACGACCCTCTTGCCTAGCATGTTTTCTGAGCTCAAATTCCTGGGGAAAAAAAACAATAGGCAACAAAACCACCACACAACACAATGAATTTTAGACAGAGCCTGGATGTATACGAGCACATATAATGCTTCTAAAATGCAGCAGTCCCATACTTACAGTTGCAAGCCTCTTGTCCATCTCAGGCCCTGCTTTTTCCACAGCTGTCTTCTGGATAAAGCAGCAGGCCAGTTCACAGTTGTCCTGTGCTAACTGGGCTGCTGCCTGCTCCATCATGTCCCTCTGCTGTGGGGAGGCTGCCTATTGAAAACCACAATAATCAGTGAAGGCTGTAAATCTCCCCTGTATTTTACTAGCCTCAAAATCTGTGCCACTGCCTTTACAGAACACGAGCAATAAAAAGGAATGCTCTTAGAAATGCACTCTCTTTGCATGGAACATACAACAGTAAAATTAATTTTGCATATCTCTGAATAAAACCAGGAGGGAAGATGACAGCAAAGACTTTCAAACAAGCAACAACACAGCAGAAGGTCCTCCATCTTCTCCACCAACCTATCTCCTGGGCATAGACATAAAGCCCTGCTTTGGGCTGACACATATATGACAGATGCAGGAAAAACAAGCCTCGAATCACAGTGCAAAAATTCTTCCCCTTCCTAGCTTGTAATCAGAAGATACACTAAATGGAAGAGTAGTGCTAATCATTTTTCAGTGGGTTCCTTTTCTGATAGGAAAAGGATTTTCTTCTTTCCTTCCTGGAGTCTAGTCTGAGAGAACCCTGAACATTTGGACATACTTTCCAGGGTGCAAAGCAGCAACTCCCACTGGAAACAGAGTACACATAATACAGCAAACAGTCCAATCTACTCAGATTTGTTTGCCCATTAAGATCTACTTCTCTTTCATACCTTCTATCTGATATCTTACTGTATTCAGCTCTGGGGTCCTCAATACAAGAGGCATGTGGACCTGCTCGAGCAAGTCCAGAGAAGGCCACGGAGGTGTTGTGAGGGCTGGAGCAGCTCTGCTCTGGAAACAGGCTGAGAGAGCTGGGCTGGGTCAGCCTGGGGAAGAGAAGGCTCCTGAAGGGGAGACCTTAGAGCAGCTCCATTCCCTAAAGCGGCTACAAGAAACCTGGAGAGGGGCTTTGGACAAGGGTCTGTAGGGACAGGACAAGGGGGAACGGCTTTAACCTGACAGAAGGGAGACTGAGATGAGCTCTGAGGCAGAAGCTCTTCCCTGTGAGGGTGCTGAGGCGCTGGCACAGGGTGCCCAGAGAAGCTGTGGCTGCTCCATCCCTGGCAGTGTTCAAGGCCAGGCTGGAAAGGGCTTGCAACAACCTGGTCTAGTGGAAGGTGTCCCTGCCCATGGCAGGAGGTTGCAAGTGGATAAGCTTTAAGATCCTTCCAACCCAAACCATTTTATTATTCAAGGATTAACCACAGTCAAGACTGCAAATCAAAGGAGTATTTCCGCCCCTCTCATCAGAGTATAACAGCACTTGCTCTTACAATTACCAGTTTGACACCCAAACTCCAAACTGTAATTAGCACAGGAGCTAACAGTGGTCACTGGCTGAGCTCCAATGGGAACAAAGCATTACTGTTTGCTCCCACCCTTGTGTTTAAGATGGGTGGAACAAGATTCACTTGTATGCTTTTCCTCCTCTTCATCTCAGCAATCACATTATCTGAAGTTCGGTTTATGAAGGGTCAAGTATCTGAGACCTGTGAGTTGCAGCAGACTATCCATCCCCTACCTGCAGATGCAATTCTTTGTGACATTCTGCACTCCCTTCAGAACATTAAATCCTGTCCTCAGAGCAGCTACCATGCAAGAGAGCAATGCCACTGCACAAGAGCCTTTGCTCTGTCACTCCGCACGAGACGGGAGACAGTGACATGCCCTTAAGCAAGAGGTAGGCAATCCCTCAACTATTTCTCTTTCAAATCCCTGAAAGGATCTATGTCTTGATCCTTCTGAGGTCTTCATGCTCTTAGTGTCTGTGCTGACATTGGTGGTAAGCACATAAAGTATTCTAGGCAGCAGGTGCTATTCTGGCCAGCAGGTCACAAACTTCCATTTAGTCAAGAAGGTAAAGCTACTACTTCAGCTCAAACTTTGTTCATCAGAGGACCTAAAAATAGACTCTAGAAAACCCAATGAATTCACAAGCTGTGTAGAAGAGTCTTTACATATCTCCTAAGAGCACAAGTGAATAAAATCTCCCTCAGGCATGTATGCTGAAACAATTCAAGGCATCATCAGAAAGTCCCAGAATCAACTCTGTCTTCGCCACTCCAACTTTTCTACCTCAAACCCCACAGCAAGGTAAGCGCTCTAAGGCTTCATGACATGATCAAACTGGAGAGACCAGGGTGGCAAAATGAAAAGGTAGTGGGGAACCTTGTGAGCAATAAAGCAAGATCCACCTTAAAGGCCTTAAAGAGTGCTTGAAATGAGTTGTAATCTCAGCACAGTCTTTCCGCTGTCATTCTGAAAGAGTCATGAGATTTCTGTCCGCTAAATTAAGCTCCACATTAGTTAAGACACATAATTAATCAACAAGTCTGCAGTGTGGCAAATTGATCTGCTAGTGCTGGATGCCTACAGTCCTGTAAGCTGGGAATAAGCTTCAGATGATGTGGCTCTTACCCTCAATGCATTAGCAAAACTATTTTTCAAGTTGGTAGCGATGCCCATCAGCAAAGGTTCCCTGCAGGTGATCATGGCCATCCCAGCAGTCAGGTTCCGCATCATATGGTGCGCGGCCACACGCATTCGTGACTCCTCCGAATCCAGTGCAAAGTCCTTCCTGACTATCTGCTCACAAGTAGTCATGGCGATCTTAATGGAGCGATCCACCACTGGATGGACAAGTTCTTGCACTGCTCGCTCAATCGCTTGCCGCACGCACTGCTTCAACTGTGGGTGGGCTTGGAACAGTGGGATCTGGAGGAGGGTTAGGGAAGTTAAGTGAGGATAAAGTAAAGTAGAATTCCATCTACCCTAGTGTTGTGGTTTAAGCCCAGTCAGTAACTCAGATCCACACAGCTGCTTGCTCACTCCCCTCATTTTCCACCCCCATTCAGTTTCTGAACAATTTCAAGTTTACTGTCATAGCTTGTTTTCAGCATGGCACTCTTGTGTTCCACCTGCAGCTATTACAATGTTTGGCAATTCTGAAACTGAGATATATGATCGTTCTTCTTCCAAAGTTGCACAATGCAAAGACTACTTTAAGAGCCAGGTCACTGACTGGTCAAAGGGAACACAGAGGCTTCATTTAAGCCTAAGTCCCAAGAGCAACTATCTCAATTGAAACTTACTGCCAGAAATAAACTTGATATTAATGTCATAATGAAAGATCACTTGATCTAAGATTGCTAATGCTATTACTAACAACCCCTGAATTTCTCCATTTGATTACTTGTTAGTGTGTATCCACCTCATTACTTTTGAGAAGTGACTCCCCAGTAACTTCAACTTGCAAACTGCTGCTCCCACCCACTGAAACCTTTAGCTACGCTGGTGCTAAGAATTCTTACAGCAAAACAGATCAGCTCTAAAACTTACCGTTGGGTTTAAGGTAATATGTGGAGCCAACCCTCCCAAAGAATAGACATTGATGTCATGATAACTGTACTGGGGCTGTGGAGGAACCGTGGCTGTACAAGTGGTGCTGGTAGCTGGAGTTGTAGAGGCAGCTGTAGAATACAAGAATGTTTGTACTGAACCATTACTGAAAAGCAGATGCTTATATCAGTTCATTTAAACCAGCAAGTGACTAAGAAGTAGTTCTGCACTTTGATCATGAAGCCTCCTAAACTTCTCAAGCAATTTTTATTCTCCATTTTCCTAATGATTAGTACCAAACTAGCTTCTGATTTTAGCAGAGCTGCTTGTTACAACACAGCTTAGCTCCTGGTGGCTTGTTAACAGATCATCCTGCTTCACTCTCTTCTAAGCACCAGCTACACAGAGCATGTGTAAAGTTATTCCTCAGGATAGCTTCCCATTTCCTTCTCATTTTGTATCACAAAACTATCCAAGTGCTCCAAAGCATTCGGCAATGTGACAATAGCATATGTAGCTTCACATTTTTCTTTGCAGTAGCATAACCTGTCTTATTTGAACTTCTATGGAACAGTTCTGGATTCTGGATGTACTTACTAGTTGTTGTGATGGGCGGTAGCTCTTCCGGCTGCTTCACATCCTTCTTTGGAGCAGACAGCTGCTCATCCAGATTTTTCAGATGATCCTTATCTTTCAGGAGACTTCCAGGCTTCAGCTCATTGATGTCTAGTGCAAGATTCTTGCAGAGCACCTCAATCTCAAACTTCAGATTCAACTGCACAACAAGTCTAGTTTAGGTTATGTCACAAGGTAAATACCCAAAATGTTTACTGGGCTGCTTGATTCCCAAACTTCCCATTCTAACTCCAGGCCTTTCAGAGACTTTTAACAGTGACTGAGGATTAGACAAATATCTTGCATGCTGACCATCCACGTCCTACCAAATTAAGCAATGCCCAGCTCTCCCCATGCTAAAGAAATGAAATTTGGTCCTTCACAATATCCCTCTTGACCAGCATGTCAAGAAAACCTCACACTTAGTAGGTAAAGTGAAAACCAGAAGTTTACTTTTAGATCATGTTCTTGATGTAGCTCAGCTAAAACATTCATAATGGCCATTGTCCACGGGTTTGGAGGCCTGAAGACCTACAAGAGACAGAGAAGGGAGGTATGACAAACTTCTTGAATCATCTGGGTAACTTAGGAGTTGAAATTTGTGAAATACAAACAGCTATATCTGCACACAGCCACGGAAAAGTTTAAACAGCTGCAATCAGGGTTGCATTTACTACTCAATTTGACTGTAACTAGATTAGGAAGCTAGCTGAACATTAAACTGGAAACACAATGACCTGGTCCTTCTGTGTAATAAGTTCCACATTAAGCAGAAGTGACAAGAGCTGACCAGGGTCAAAGAGGGATGGGAGAAAAAAAAAAAAAAAAAAAGGAATTAAAAAAAAATCCTAAAACCTCTGTGATGGCATCCTTATGTTTCTCAGAGTTTTGTTCAGGGATACACCACAGTGCAGTTCAGCTCATACCACCCAGACTGCAAAAACGCACAGGCCATGTACTTTCACTTGAAACAGAACACCTTCACTTTAAGCCCTGTCATCCCTTTTCTCTCCATGGGATGCAATAATTTTCCTTTTGTGAAAGAAGTTAACTACTATCCTGCCATACTTGTTTTGCTACTTGAGCAATAACTCTTGTCATTTTCCTTGCAGTGACCTGTCTGGCTGTTCCAGATGTGGGGTAGCCTGTGGCCCTGATGTGGAGACAGGGATGCTTACGCTACTCAAGAGCTTGCCAGCAAATGCGTGTCCATCCTGGAGTTCTGAAGCTGCTGCTTCTGTGTGCAGCTGCTCAGGCTCCCCCAGGTTTCTAACCAGCTCCTTGGACAGCACCTCTGCTCTTTTTGCAGCTGGCTCTGCATGGACAGGAATGAAGTCCGCTGTCACTTCATTGGTGGGCTCAACTGCTGGGCTTTGAAAATTGAAGGTCACCTCATCTAAGTTACAAGTAATAACAATTCGTGTTTCTGAAGGGCGCTTGCCGTTGAGCCTGGACGTGGAATTTTAGCAGTGTACGAGATCTGAAGGGGTTCCCGGAGGAGGACTGATGCAGGAGGCACTGCGAGCCGCCTCTGCCTTGCCTTACACGGGCGGCGCTGCCCATCCCCGCACCGGCCACAGGAGGAAACAGCGCCCGAGGATCCCGCCCCCCCGCAAGGGGGCGCAAGAGCTCGGAGGCCACGCGGCGGAGGGAGGGGGGGGGGGCACGAGGCTGGCACGCGAAGCGGAGGGGGGGGGCACGAGCCGACCGCGTGCTGCAGCCCTCGAGGTCCCCGCCCGCCCGCGCGAGGGGGGGGGGGGGTTATCACGAGGCAATTGCCTATAACGGGGGCACGCGCCGGGCTCGTGCCCCTCGCCTCAGGGGCGGGAAGAGCGCGCGCGTGAGGCGTTACCTCAGGAGTCTGAGGGGGGCGTCCGAGGCAGACGGCAGCGGGACCCGGCGGGGGACGGGACGGGACGGGACGGGAGCCGGTGCCGCCGGGGAAAGGGCTGCGATCACTTCGGGACGGGAGGGAATCGGTGCCGTCGCCTTGGTGGGGAAAGGTTTGTAATTGCTTCAGGATGGATGGGAGCCGGTGCCGTCGTCTGGGTGGGGAAGGGTTTGTAAGTGCCTCAAGCCGGGAGGGAATCGGTGCTGTCACCTTGGTGGGGAAGGGTCTTCAATGGACTCGGGCTGGGGGGGGGGGGGATCGCTGCTGTCTCCTTGAAGGGGGGGAGCTCAGTAATTGCCTCAGGGAGGGGGAGAGTCTGTGCCTTCGGGGAAGGGTTTGTAATTGCCTCGGGATGGGAGGGAGCCGGCACCGTCGCTTGGTGGGGAAGGGTCTGTAACTGCCTCAGAACGGATGGGATTCGGCGCCGTCGTTTGGTGGGGAAGGGTCCGTAATTGCCTCAGGGCGGGGGGTCTCTGTGCCTTCGGGGAAGGGTCGGTAATTGCGTCGGGGCGGGAAGGGGTCGGCGCCGTCGCCTTGCTGGGGAAGGGTCCGTAATTGCCTCAGGGAGGGGGGGCGTCTGTGCTTTCGGGGAAGAGATCGTAATCGCTTGGCAGGGCGGGAAGGAATCGGTGCCGTCGAGGAAGGGTCCGTAATTGCCTCAGGGCGGGAGGGAGCCAGTGCCGTCGCCCTAGCGGAGAAGGGTCCGTACTTGCCTCAGGGCGGGGGGGAGTCTGTGCCTTCGGGGAAGGGTCGGTAATTGCGTCGGGGCGGGAAGGGGTCGGTGCCGTCGCCTTGGTGGGGAAGGGTCCGTAATTGCCTCAGGCCGGGTGGGAGGCGGTGCCGTCAGGGAAGGGTCCGTGTCCGCCGCGGGGCGGGCTGGCGGGGGTCGGTCACCGCCGTCGGGGGCCTGCGAGCGCCGCTGGCCGGGCTGGGCTCTGCGCCTTCCCGGGAGGCGCGGGCAGGCATCGCCGCAGGGGGTGCAGCAGGACCACGGAGGATCCAGTCTCCGCCTGGAGCGGCCCGGAGCAGCAGAGCGTCCTTCGCCCTCGTCCCTGCAGGGAGCCCCGGAGCACCCATCCCGTGAGAGGAGCTGATGGGTGAGCAGTTACTTGGTGGGGGGGGGGGGGGGCAGAGGGAAGGGGGGTCGGGAGTAGGTGCGGGAGGACGGCGGGGCCGGTGGTCCTGGGGACAGCTCCCACGGGGGCCGGGCGGGGCTGTGGGGAGCTCCCGCTCCCTTTAGTCCCTGACCGTGCCCTCTTGCCTTCGCACCGGCCTGCGGAGCACACAGAGGAGGCGTCCGTCGTGAGGCGCAGCGAGGCAAGAGCGAGCGGGGGAAGCCCAGGACGCCGAAGAGGAGCGGAGCGGGGGAAGCAGGAGAGGCTGAAGAGGAGGAAAGAGGCACTCTGGGCACAGGGACCTCCCTATCACTGGGGCTGGGGTCACACAAGGGCGTCACTGGCACCTTTGGGGTGCCCTCCCTGTAACCAGGGTTGGGGTCTTTGCTTTTGCCATGTTGCTCCATGAGTGGGTAGCCTTTCCGGGGAGAGGGGCAACCTTGTAAGCAGGGCGAGAGCCACCATCTCCACGGCCTGGGGTGGGGGGAAGTGGAGCTCCTGAATATGGGGCGTTATGCTGCAGCCAGGATGGCCAGCCTGTAACCCGGGCTCTGTGGGGTTTGTTGGGAGTGCTGAGCTGAGGGGGAGACCGCCCTGTAAGAAGGGCTGTGGGTGGCCCCTGCGCTGGGCAGGAAGTGTTGGGAGGGACCCCCAGAAACATCAAATGGGTGTCTCTGGCCCTGGCCTTTCAGAGGCGTGGGGCTGAGATATGTGGTTGGGCATGCCCTGCCCTCGGTCTCTTTCTCTCTGCTCTCAGCACCTGGGGCAGTTTAGGAGGGAGGACACTACTGGGGAAGGTGGGAGGCTGGGATGAAACTGTCTGGGAGCTTCCTCTGAGGTTGATGTCCCTCACTCCCCCGGGCGGTGGACCTGGTTTTTGAGTGAGCCCTCACTTCCTTGGCAGCCGCTCCTGGACAAGAAGAACATTGTGTGGAACGGTGCCAGTGAGCACCACGGGTGAGCTAGACGAGGGGCGGCGGGCTGAACACAAGAGCAGTGCCAACACCTTTAAGTGGTGGTGCACTGGGTGATCTCCCTGTAAACATGGCTGGAGTCTTTGGCCTTTTGCCACGATGCCCCACAGTTTGGCTGCCCAGAGAGCGTGGCAACCCTGTAAGGAGGGTGAGAGCCACCGTCCCCACACCCGAGGGGGAAATGGAGCTCTCTGGACCCCCAGGCCACCCTGTAAGCAGGGGCGGGCCATTTCCCTGCCCCACTCCTCTGCCCCAGCAGCCTTCTGCCTGCTGGTGGCCTACCCAGCGTGACCCCCTGTTGTCAGGGTGTGTCACTGCGTTTTCCCCTTGGCGTGTTGAAGCTCTCTGGCTTCCACGCATCCTGGGGCATAGTCTGAGCTCCCCTCTCCTGTTTGCGAGTAGGGTGACTCCCCAGACATTGGCTGCATGGAGCCCATGCTCTCTTTGTGGAACTTCTGTTTTTCCCTGTTTGTGTCTGTGGTTGAGTGTGTGTCTTTGTCTCTGTGTGTGTGTGTGCAGGAGAATGAGCTTGTTTAGGCCCTTGTTAAAATAACTGCAGCGTACTTAGCCTGAACTTCCCAGGAGAGCCGGGCTCTGTGCAGTAACAGGGGGGTCCCCTCTGAGTCCGCGAGCAGAGGGACGGTTTGAGCTCGCCCCTTCTTTCCACGGACGGCGCCAAGCCACTTAGTCGTGGTGCAGGCAATGCGACCTGCCTGTAGTCAGGACGTGGGTCTCTGCCTGCGTGGCTGCCTGTCCTGCTGGTGATGTGCCAGCGTGACCCCCTGTTGTCAGGGCGTGTCGCAGCATTTGCCCCTTGGCGTGTTGAAGCTCTCCGGCTTCCACGCACAGCCACAATAATCTGTGGAGCCCTATGTCCCCTAGAGCAGCCCCAGCTCGCTTTAAGCAGGGCTTGGGAGGCTGCCTTAGCCCATATGAACGAGCCCTCCCTCACCCTTTAGAGGGCACAGGCCCACCTTTGGCTCGGGTGACCTCCCCCTGGTTGGGGTCGAGGTTTTGTACTGGGCTCCCAGAAGTACAAGATGATGATGATGATGATGATGATGATGATGATGATGATGATGTGCTGCAGCCAGGACTGCCCGCCCGTAGCTCGGGCGCAGGTCGGAGCCTCAGGCTCCGTGGGGCTTGTTGGGAGCGCTGAGGTGAGGGGAGCCACCCTGTAAGGAGGGCTGTGAGTATCCCCTGCTCCCAGTGGGAGTGCTGGGAGGGCCCCCCTGTAAGCAGGCGGGTGTCCCTGGCCCCAGCCTTGCAGGGGCAACAATTCGGAAGATGTGTCTTATGGCAGAACTGAAATGGCTTCTAAAACTCCAGGGAACGGCACTGAGCCAAGTACCTCCCCCAGACCCATAAAGACCCTCCCAAAAGCACTAAGGATGCTGTAGTATGACTGCAGCCCCGGTGACAGGGACGTCCCTTTGCCCGGAGTGCCTTTCTCTGGGCCCTTCTTCATCCCGCTGCTTCTCCTCTGGCTTGCTCTTTCCTTGGAGTTCCACACGTGAGGGATGCCTCCGTTTAACCTTCTCCTCCGGGGGCTGCTGCCAAGGAACCGGG